TGACTATTAAAGAATATGCTTTGAGTATTTTATATTTTTCGCCCCAAATCCGCCTGTAGGGGGGCATGCCCGACCTAACCCTAGGCCTCCGTGCATCTTTCTCTAGGGAGAGACAACGGGTGCCGGTGCACCGCTGCTCCACAGACCTCCTCTGCGGTGGCGACGGGGGCCTCCCAAGAGGCCTCCAAAGGCGAAAGCGAGCCAACGGTAGCGGTGGGGGCCCGGCCACAAGAAACCTTCCACCAAAAACCTAACCCTGAGACCCCAGGACGTCCGTCGATTTTTGGTGTGGGAACGTCACGCTTTCCATGACAAAACCAGCGAAACCCAAGAAACCAAGGGCACCCTGGAGGCAAGCAGGGTATTTCTTGGCATGGGCCTGCACTGTACTCTGTGTCGCCGTGCCTCTCGGCGAGGCGCAGCCGCTAGGAAGCATCCCGAGGCTGGAAAACCGCCGACAACCCACGATACTAGATGGGGTCCGACTTCGGCGATGCGTCGGCGCGGTCGGCGCGAGATGCGGAGCGATTCTCCGACCCCATTCAGGAGGCCTAGAGAGAACGCCGCGCGAGAACTCGTTCCTCCTCAGCGTCTCCGCGCGGGAAGCCGCGGGGACGGCTCCTCGGAGGACGGGGCCGACACGGGATTCTGCAGGCGCCCTCCGGGCTGCAGGGGGACGGACGAGGGAGGAGACGAAGCGAGGACGAGGATACACTCGGGGGAGGATAGATCGAGCACCTCTGAGGTCTGGCGGCTCTGGAGGACGTCGGGCGCCGCGGCCCTCTCAGAGCGCTCCGGCACGGGTCTGTCCTCGCCCGAGCCCCGTCCGCATCCAGGGGAGGGGAGGAGGACTGTCACGTGTTCGGCGAGGGGCCTCTTGTTACCCGTCGCTCCTGGGCCGTCTTCGGCGTTCTTCGGACGGTCTTCGACGAACTTCGGCGGTCTTCTGACGGTATCCAGCGGTTCCTGGGGGTCGTTGGCGGTTTCCAGCGGTCTTCGGCGCGAAAGCCAACAAAAACTTCGCCCCCACGAGCGGACGAGGCAGGAGAGAGGAGGAGAGTGGGGCGACGACATCTATACACATGCGCTGCCCCCTGGCCAGGCCCTTCCTGAACCCAGCGGCGGTGTATACGCCACGCTCTGGGCGTATACACAACCCCTGGGCCGAGGGAGGGCCCAGCCATGGGGGCAGTGGATGTGCATAGATTTCATCGCCCGAGGGAGGTGGTGGGAGGGAAAAGGGCAGGGGGGGGAGAGGAAGGCCAAGACATCTCCACTGGCACGTGTCACGTGTCAGAGGCTTACATGGTGGGCCGGAGCAGTTCCCCTCCTCCTGCTCCTCATCATCCCCTTACTCATCCTTCTCTTACCTCTCATCCTTGAGTTCCCGACACCAAACTGAAAGCACTGAATGGCAGGAGCTCTGTCGGTCGTCGTCTCCCTTTTTCCGTCTGTATGTCTGTTCTCCTGATCCTTGACTGTCGAACGCGATGGTCAGGCAGGAAATCTGCGCAATGCCCAGTGGTCCCCTAGCATGCCGTGCCAGCGCGCGATAACTTTAAATGGAAAGCAAATGATGCCAATAAATATCTAGAGTGATGCTGTCCGCCCCCCAGGCTCTCAAGAGGCCCCCGAGAGCCCCAGAGGCTCCCCAGACGCCCCCAGGAATCCCCAAGAGGCCCCCAATAGGACCCAAAAGGATCCTGATGCTCTTCCTCCTCCTCCTCCTCCCTCCTCGTCTTCAGGGTCGGCGGCACCGGGCTTAAGGCCTTCTCGATATCTAAGATGACGCTGTCCGCCCCCCACACCCCCCGGGCGAATTTTGCCATGCCCACTGCCGCTGGAGTTCCCGAGCCACGTCAACATCATCCCCCTCCTCCGCCTCCGCCTCCCCTTCCCCAACCCTCCTCGCGCTCGTCCTCTTCCTCCGTCCTGAGTCATGGCACCGCCAGATGGCAAGACGAATGCAGGAACGAAGGGGCTTCCCTGGCCGCGGCGGGCCTCGTCTACGAATCGGTGCCCCGACCCAAACCCGAGCACCCGAACCCTTCCTGAGCCCAGAGGGATCCTTATGTCCGCGCCCTGGCTGCATCCCTCCTCCGTCCTCTCCCTCATTGTCCGCCTCCTGTTCCCTCACACTCCTCCCCATCTCGATCTCGCCCTCCCCCTCCTTACAATTTCTCCTCCTGCAACGGAGGCGGCCTGAGGTGTAGTGAGGGGTTAAGGTGGAACAGGAAGAGAAGCGGTGGGAGGACAAGGGGTGAGGATGATGAGGTTGGATGGGGTTTAAGGAGGGGGGGTACTTTTTGTTCGCAATGAATTGTCCACTCCACTGTTGGTGCATTCGTCCCATCCACCCACCCACAATGTGTTTTTAAAATTATTTTTTTCCCTAGGTCCGTTCGTCCACCCACAACTTGGTTTGCAAAACCAATGCGGCGGCGATTGCGACGAGTGCTAGGGGTTGGCTGGTGCATCTCTGCGGCCGCGCTAGCCCGCGCCTTCTCGCGCGCGCGCAGCGGCCAGCTAATTTGGCCGACCGACGCGGCCGCGGTGGCGCTGACCGCTGGGCACTTCCCAGCGGACACCTCAATGCGAGTCGGCGAGTTGGTCCGTAGCCATTTTGGCTCAAGGCTCGGCACGCGCAAGGACGATCGAATGATTTCGACGTGAAGCGCGAGTGGCCCGTCTAGCAGAATTGAATGGCAATGTTGAACAACAGTGGTTTCCCTACGAATTCGCAGGAGCGCAAGCGCAAGCATTTGTGAAAGATGAAGTTGCGAAACAAGGTGGTTCTAGATGTAAACCCATACGAAATCAAAGATTGTTGAAGGATTCCGGCATGCACGCGCGACGACGCGTGCGTGCGCACTTCGTTCCACTGGTTGCCAGGGATTCCTCCGACGGCGCGCGCGCAAGGGCGTTCGAGCGATTCCGACATGCGCGCGCGAGAGACCCGTTTGGTAGCATGTTGTGGGCGTGTGCGAACCCATGCTGTTTTTTCCAATGAACTCGCATCAGCCTGGGAACAAACTTTGTTTGAACATCCGTGTTGCGAGACCTCTTTTTTATATTAAGACACGGGGCATCCGATTTTGAAAACCTTACAAACCTAGGGTGTTGAAGGACTTCGGCACGCGCGCGCGACGACGCGCGCGTGGGTAGTTCGTCCCATGTTTTGAAAGCGGTGATTGAAAACTGATGGATTGTTACAAACGACCGTGCGCGCATCGCATTTTCGGCAAACGACGAGGGGTAAGGTGGACAATTGGGCAGAATCGTATGATAATTGAGATACGAAGCGGAGAACCGTCGATTCCGCAGGGGGGAGATCCGATTGGTCTTTTAGAGCGGATAATAGAAGAGCTTGGGCTGTATCAGAAAGGTCCTGAAGTCTCGCAGCAAGAATCATCCGAAGACGTGCCGAACGATGTCTCCATCATCCTGCTGCTGCTATTCACCCTGGTTTCCCCCTCCTCCTCCTCCTCCTGTCCCAGCTCCTCCTACTCCTCCTCCCTTTGCTGCTTGTACGGTGCCCATCGCGTTGCAAGGTGCCAGGTCAATGTGGGCGATTCCCTCCCCATCTGGTCTTCTCTCGGCGGCGAGCGAGGGGGGGAAGTGAGAAGGAGAAGGCCTTCTCAGGCGGCGGGACTTCTCAGAAGCCCTCGCGCCGTGTGAGAGGCTGTCTGCGTCTTCGAGGAGGGCCCAGACAACTTCTCAGGAGGCCAGGGCACTCCCGAGCCTTCTGGGGAGGCCCGCCCCCTTGCACCTCCCCCCTGGCTGCCCGCCGACTCTCAGCAACTGTCTCTCCCGATGGGCCTGTTTCCCGCCACCACCGCCACAAGATGGAGGGGGGAAGGCGGTGGATGATACTGCTATGAGGATGTTTTCGTACAGCTTCGATGTGCTCTCAAGTGTCCTCCTGAATACCCAGGGCTTCGGGCGACGCCGCCTGGTGACCAGCCACGCTCCCGCGGCTACCGTCCCAATGGAACAGGAACCGACGGCGGAGAGAACAAGCGAGGATTCTGCGATGAGGATTCTGCTATCCTGATCAGCCCAACAATGAGCACCAGTGTGGGGCCAACGAAAAGATGCGGCTGAGGACACAACCGCTGCGTGTCGCCCCTCCTCTCCCTCCATCCCTCCTCCTCCCTCCCGCTCCCCACCTCCTTCCTCCTCCCTGCCCCTCCCCTCCCCTCCCTCCCTCCTCCTCCATTCCCCTCCCCTCCCTCCTCCTCCCTCCCTGCCCCTCCTCCCTCCTCCTCTTCATCCTCTCTTTTCCTCCTCCCCCATCGCCCTCCTCCCACGCCCTCATCCCTCCTCCTCTTCTCCTCTTCTCCTCCCCCCCTCGCCCTCCTCCCTCCTCCTCTGCTCCTCCTCTTCTCCTCCCCAACTTCTCCTCTTCCGCCTCCGCTTCTCCCCCCCCCCTCCCCCTGGGTCATGATGCGATTGGCTCCAGATACTTTCCAGGTTTTTCCAGAGAATCTGGCGGCCCTCGTTTCTGCGGTCCGAGTGGAACGTTAGTAGAGGCCTCCTAGATGGGGTCCGAGTGGGTAGGGTCGGAGGACGGCGCCGCATCGCCAATGCATCGACGATGCATCGGCGACGTCGGCGATGCGTCAGCGACGCCAGTGGAGAGAGTAGAGTTCCGCATCGAGCCGCATCGCCGATGCATCGGCGATGCGGCGCGATCCACCGACCCCATCTAATTGGACCCCATATGGGAGGCCCAGAGTTAGGAAGTCTGAGAAATCCTGGAAACCATGGAAATCCTGGAGCGCATCATTATCACGACTTCTTTCTTGCTCCTCTGATCCCCGTGCGCCCCCCCACCCTGGTTTCGCCGCGCGGTCTTCGCACAAGCTCTCCGCACCGAGGCCCCCACCCCGCGCCGAAACCGCGCGCGCGAGGGGCCCCCTGGGAGGGCCCCTGGGCCGAGACGCCCACGGCGAACCTGCGCGGCGTCCTTCACGCGCCGCGCCCGCTGGGGGGCCACGTCAGAGCCGCAGGACGGACACGGAGCACTCGTTCCCGCCGGTGCACTGCAGGCCCGTGGTGTCGACCAGGAGCCCGGCCGACCCACCTGGGAAAAAGGAGAAGCGGCACCACCACCACCACCACCACCACCACCAGGGCTCACCAGCTGGAGGAGAGCTGGGGGGTTCCACCAGGTGGTGTGGTTTCCCCCTCTCGCTCGAGACATGCCCTGTGCCCAGCTCGGGGAGGCATCGTGGACCTCCTCGCTGGAGGTGGTCCCCATGATGGTGGTATTGCCGCGTCTCTTTCCCCCGACCACCGACGGCCGCCCTCACCGACAACTGGTCGCAGCTGAGCGCCGAGACCTCATCGCCGGTGCCCGCGAACCGGCCGTCCGCGAAGACGTAGGAGTACGCCAGGCCGTCGCCGTAGGAGCTCGACCAGCCGCGGTATCGGCACGCCAGGTACTGCCACACGCTCAGGCCGTCCGCGTCGGGGGCGCCCGCGCTGGTGGCCGGCGGCCTGCACCAGCGGCAGGCGCTGCGGTTCCCTGCGGAGCAGCTGTACCTGCAGGTGAAGCCCGTCTGGACGGAAGAAGAAACGACGCCACGAACATAAACTTCCTGCGCTCCACGCGGATGTCTGGGGTCCGCGCCGGAGCCCCCCCCCTGGCGCCCCTCCCTGGGGCGCGGAGCGCGCCAGGGGCGGCCCTGGGGCCTGGGGAGGCCCGCGCGGACCCAAGATAGGGAGCGTGTTCTTATTCGGCGTTTCGACACTGGGGGGGGGATGGGGGGGTCGGGGGGGTCTGGCTCTGGACGTCTACTCAACGCGACTGTCTGCAACAGTGCGTCCTGTGGGGGAGAGGCTCCACCTGCTCGAAACGGGGGCCAAAAACGGCCACGATCTGCTCCATGTGGGGGGCGGGGGGGAAGGGGGGGGGGGGTTGGGGGGCCCGCGCCGATCGGCAAAACAATGAATCAACAAATAAAACAAACCCGCGCGGAGCGCCAAATGTTTCTGTTTAGGTCGGGCATGTCCTCCTACAGCGGGATGTTGGACGAAAAAGTACTACCAATACCCCAAAACATACCCCCAAAATGGCCCCACAAAAATTCAAACGAATCGCCCCCGGACTATGTTCTGAATACTTCTGAACATTCCTCCTGTAGAGGGACAGGCCCGACTGAAGCTTTGGGGCCCTCGCTGATCGACACAACAAGGAGTGCAAACAACGATCACAAACTCGCGCGGAGCGCCACATGTCTATGCCTATGGCGTCTTCTCTGCTTCGACTGGAGCTCGCCCGCCGTCGTGTTGCGGGCCTTGTAGTCCGCCGACCCTCCGCGCGACGGGGTCGAAGATTAGCACACGAAGACCGGGTTACGATTTGGCTGGGGGGTCGACTGCATTGATATGCCCCAGCATTGGCTTCCTCGTCGAATCTGCACCCAAATACGTGTAACGCTCGTATCTATATACGCATACAGATGAATCTAGTCTGCGCGTTGTGTTGTAGATTCGGCGAGGATATGAGTTCTGGGGTGCGCAGATCAATTCTGCCGCCGACACCCTGCTCGAGCGATAGACTGCTCTGTCGACGGGAGCGCCTGCGCCGGAGCAGACGCAGACTTCAGACCCTCCCGGCGGCACGTCGGGGTGACGACTCTCCCGCCGCCGTGGGGCAGCCCAGGCGCCCCCGACGGCGGAGACGCGTGTTCTGTGCCGCCCGTCGTCGCCGGAAGACGCGTGCGAGACGACTGGCGGCCCCCCTCCCCCTCCCTGGGGTCCCACCGGAAGACGAGGAGGGGGGTGGGGGAGGACATGCTGCTCTCCCGCAGACGCATCTGGTTGAGCAGGCACCGACCAACCCGGCGTTCCTCCAAGCCTGCCACGAGATGTCCTCAGAACCCAACATGCTCTGAGAGCCACAGCAACGTTCTTAGACCACAAACCCGATGTGTTAAAACATGACAATCCCAGCCAGAAATGTTCTAAGAACGTTTCGTGCACCACGAAGGGTTCTCAGAACATTCTTTGGTAGGCCGATCGGCGAGCTAAGACGCGTCGCCACTGCTTGATCTGAGGCGCGAGCAGCTTCTTCTTCACATCTCGCGTCCTCAAATGGGTCTGCGCCAGATGCTCCCCGGCGCACCTCCCTGGCCTTAGGTCGGGCCTGCCCCCCACAGACGGATTTTGGACCAAAAACTCAAAATTGTCAAGACATGCGCCCGAAATTATCAAACATGGTAGAAAAATCGTCCCCAGACTATTTTTGACTATCTTTGAATATTCCCCCTGTAGAGGGACAGGCCCGACTTAACCCTGGCCCTCAGAGCCTCCGACGCCACTCCTCGTGGCCCCCGTCCTCGGGGGCCTCCACCGCAACCCGCAGACCGTCCCTCCCGGGGGGTCCCGGCGGGTCGGCGCACGGGAAGCCCCTCGAGTAGATCCACCGGTAGTTACCCCCGATGCCGCACTCGGCCAGCCTCCCGCCGGCGGCGAACCTGGAGGAACAGAACGCTGCTAAAACGGCCCTCCCAGAAGGAAAAAACAACTTCCCGGAATGAGGCGCGGCACGCGAAACAGTCAACGGGCTTCTTCCTCGGGCTTCTTCCTGGAGGGACGAAGACAACTTCCCGAATTTTAGCAGCCACGGATTTAGCAGCCCTTGCCCAGCTTCCGAACTGCATGAACGTGCTTTCTCGGAGGCCCGCGCGGATTTCTTGGATCGGCGGTGGACCCCCCTCCTTGGCGCGCGGAGCAAGCCAAGGGCGGCACCAGAGGCGCCGCCAGCCATTTTGTGTTCATGCAGTGCAGTTGTTCTACTTCCAGTCGGACGCCCGATAGGAGTACGAAGAGCTGAAACAAATGGTACGATACCCAAGACACATGTTGCCCAAAACCGACAGCGGCCGCTGTTGGGCAGGCGAGCTTGTGTCCTAAAAGGACAACAACCGCAACAACACCGACAGCGACTCCTGTTCAGAAGGAACATCTGATGCTGGACTTTGTGCCTATTGTTTTCGCACCCCGAAATGAACTAGAGGCCTCCTAGATGGGGTCGGAGTAGATGGGGCCGGGGAATCGCGCCGCATCGGCGATATATCGGCGATGCACTGGCGATGCATCGCCGACGTGGGCGATGCATCGGCAACGTCGACGTGAAGGAAATCGGACTCCACATCGAGCCGCACCGGCGATGCGTCGGCGATGCAGCGCGATCCTTCGACCCCATCTACTCCGACCCCATCTGGGAGGCCTGGAATATCCCTTTCGGCCCCCCGATTCTGGGGAGACCAAAGAGGTACCGATACCGCTGCTCCCAGGACCTCTCCCGGGGTGCGTTCTGACCAGGATCTCGATCGAGGCGAATCCGGCGGTGGCGACGAGGGCCTCGGAGGCACCCAAAAAGGAAAAACGGGCGAAGGGGTAGCGGTAGGGGTACGTACCTCTTCTTCTTCTTCTTCTTGAGCAGAGACCGACCGTCCTGGCATTCCTATAGGCCTACCACGACATGTTCCTAAACACCCAGATATGTTCCAAGAACGAAAACCATGTTCTTAGAACGCAGAGCCGATGAACCAACAGCAAGACAAGTTCCAGCCAGAAATGTTCCACGAGCATTCCGTGCCAACCACCATCTTTGGTGGGCCTATAGACGAGCCGAGACGCTTCGCCACTGCTTGATCTTCTGAGACTCCAGAACCCTCCCACGTCGACGGCGGAGGTGAGGATCAGGCCCTGGCCCGCCAGGCGCGCCGCCCCCACCGCCGCCTCCACCGCCGTGGCGTGCAGCGCGCCCAGGCCGCAGTTCCCGGGCCACGCTGCCGGCCCGCACCGCACGGCGTCCAGGGCGTCGCACTCCTCGTGGAAGTCGTCGTACGCGATGGCCGCCGCGGGTGTGGAGCGCTCCGCGAAGGAGGAGAAGGGGCAGACCTCACGAGCAGCGAGCATCCCAGAGATCCGAGGTCGTGATTTGCTCAATGCGGGGTCCCCGGAAGTCTCGACCCACTCCCTGGGACCGTCTTTTCATCCTGAGTAGTTTTGTTGACGGTCCCGAGGCCTGGCGAGGTCCCCTAGGGGCCGAAATTTACGAAAAACCTCCGTGCTGACTTTTTCAATGCGTTGGATCTCTGGGATCGCCACATCCGCGCCCTCGCGGTCTGGGCTCCGGGGCGCGATCCCGCGGATACGCGGTCGCGCGGACGCGTGCCGCGAGAGGTATATCCGCGAGAGGGCGCCCCAGGCACAGGGGCCTTGCCCGCGAGGCCGCGGACACTGATGTGTTCCGCCCACGAAGACCAGAAAGTGCGTGGCGTTCCCCAGCTCAGTACCCGCGGGGACGGCGAGCGCGGTGGTGGACGCCCCGGCGACCGATGCCAGCAAAGCCCGATCCGTGCCATTCTCGTCTCCAGCCAGATAGACCGAGTAGCCGGCGACCGCCGACAGGTCGCCCTCCGCGCGCCACGACAGCCGCCCGCCCACCAGGCCGTCCCTGGTGTCCTCTTGGGGATCTTCTGACCCGGGTCAATCCAGGCCCGGGTCAGCAGGAAACCAAAAAACTGCAATGCAGGAAAAAAAACTGCAACGCAGGTCTTCGCAAACCCGGGTCAGCCAATGTGCGCGGCCGCCTCGCGGCCACGAGCGGCTCGCTGACCCGGGTCAGCCAGAGGGGGTCTTCGCAGGATCCTGCAGTATCTGGCGCCCTGGCTGACCCCCGTTTGCGTTGACCCCCGTCTCAAGGCTCCCGATCCTCGTCCACGAACGAGGGCGCGGCAGCGGACGCCACGGTGTCGCTGGGCACCGCCAGCGCTGCAGGGACGGAGATCTCCTGCAGCCACGACTGCGGGTAGACCAGGATGTGCGTCCACGGCAGGTAGGACGTCGGGTCCGAGACGCTGCTGGGGGTAGGTCGGGCATGTCCCCCTACAGGCGGATCTTCGGGGGCAAGGATAGCCAAAGAGTGCCCAAGAACAGTTGGACAATTATAGAGGAGCATCGCCCCGAGACTATTTTTGTGGACTAGTCTTGAACATTCCTCCTGTAGGAGGGACATGTTCGACTGAACGCCTGGGGCTCGCCCAGCGGAAGGCCACGTGCCGCTCGCCGCCGGCCGCCCAGATCCACGCCGCCGCGGGGTCCGACGCCAGCGTCGCCGGCCCACTCGCCGCACAGGGGCTGGCCCAGCCGCTGCCGCCGCCCTGGCGGTGGTCGCTGCCCAGGGCTGCCGCCGAGCCGAGCGCCTCCCAGGAGCCGTCGCCGCTGGTGAGGCCGTCGCTGCAAGAGAGCTGGAAGCCGGCGAGCCTGTGGAGGGACCAAAAAACACACAGACAAAGCCTTTTGGAGGTCCGCGCGGATTTCTTGGATCCGTTGAGCAGGGACCGACCGTCCCAGCATTCCTATAGTCCTACCACGAAATGCTCTTAGAACCCAAACATGCTCTAATAACAAAAACCATGTCCTTAGAGCATAGATCCGATCGGTTAAAACGAAACAATGTCAACCAGAAATGTTCTAAAAACATTTCGTGGAAACCACAAAAGGTTCCTAGAACTTTGTTTGGTAGGGCGATAGGCGAGCCAGGACGCTTCGCCACTGCTTGGATACGCGCGGGACACCTCTCCCCGGCGCGCGGAGCGCGCCAGGGGCGGCGCCAGAGGCGCTGGCAGGGTGGCCCAGCGCCGATCCAAGACATCCGCGGGGAACGCCAGAAGTTTATGTTCATGCGGTTCTGTTCCTCTTCGGCAGCCGGCAGAAGTCCAGGGAAGACCCCGCGCGATCGCCGCGGCCCGAGATGACCAGGTACGCAGACGGCACCTCGACGAACGACAGGCGCTTGGTGCTGGACCATTCGCCCAGGACGCCGGAGACGCTTGCCGTGACGTCCTGGCCGTTGTAGTACACGCTGGTCACAGCATCTGCCAGAGTGAAGTCGCAGGTGATGGTCTTCACCGGATCGGACGAGTAGACGGACGTGTCGGAGGGCACGTCGAACTGCGTGGTGCCCGAGGTGCCCGCCTGGCTAAGCCACGCGCCCACCTGCTGGCCCACCTGCGCCCGCTGCTCGCCCGAGGGCCCCATGGCGAGGTAGACGTTGAAGGCCTGGATGCGCCTCGCGTGCTGGAAGTTCGCTGGCAGGGCCCAGGTCAGGGTCCCGCCCAGCTCCTCCCCGTCAAGATCCTGGGGAGGCCGGGAGGTACAGGTACCGCTACTCCCTGGACCTCTCCCGGGGTGCGCTCTGACCAGGATTTCGAGGCGGATCCAGCGGTGACGACGAGGGCCTCCCAGGAGGCCCGAAAAGGGGAAAACGAGCCAGTGGTAGCGGCATGGGTATCTTTTCCTGCTCTGAGATCCAGGTCTTCGAAGGCGAGGGCGGAGACGGACGCAGACGTGTCGTCGATGAGCAGGGACTCCGTCGTGCTCTTCTCCGCGATGGCGGACGCCGGGTACACGAGCACGTGCGTGAAGCTGGCCAGGGCCGTGTCCGCGGGCACGAGGAAGCTCCTCGCGCCGAGGGCGGGGAGGGTCGCCAGGTGGAGGCGGCCCGCGCCGCTCGCGCCCTCGGCCAAGTAGACGTTGTACTCCTGAGGGGGCCACGTGCGAACCCTGCCCCGATCCCCCACGATTTCGGAGGGGGGAGGGGGGGGTTTCGCTTCGCTCGGGAGCTCCCGAACAAAGTGAACCCAACCCTCCCCCTCAGAAATCGTGGGGGGTAGGGGTAGGGTTCGCACGTGGCCCCCGAACTCCGTGACGGACACCGTGTCCAGGGGGCTGCCCCAGGAGACCGTCCCGCCGAGCTGCCCCGCGTCCAGGTCGAAGTCCGTGAAGGCGACGAATGCCACCGGGGAGTGCCTGTCCAGCGTGTCGAGCCCCACGCCCAGGGCCTCGGACAGCGACGATGCCCTCGGCAACGACTGCTCCATCTCCACGGCCACGTCTCCCGTCAGGCCCGTGGCCACCGAGACCACGTACACAAGCACGTGCGTGAAACCCGCGGTGGACGTCTCTGCCGGTATCGTCAGATTGTTGTCGCCGAAGGGCACGTCGGGAAGCAGCTGCAACCGATTCCCTCCGAATTCGTCCGCGGCCAGGTAGACCCGATACGCAGTCAGGCTCAAACTTGTTGGATCGTTGCTCCATGTGATCACGCCGCCGATCTCGCTGGCGTCCAGATCCTGGTCGACGAAAACCACGTCGTGGACCCGAAAATACAAATCCATTATCACCTCTGGGAAGATGACAGTGTCCCCCTCCGCGGTGTGCGTAAAGACCAACAGGTAGGTGAAGTTGAGGGTAGAGTTGCCGAGATGGGTATCTTGTGGCACAATGAACGAGTTCACGTCGGCGGTAGTGTTGCCGATGTAAATTGTCTCTCCTGCTCCATCCTCGTCGACGGCAAGATAGACCTCTGAAGCATAAGATGCATCCACCACGCCCCAATCTCAGCAATGTGTGTATCCTCCTCCTCTTCCTCCTCCTCGTCCTCCTCCTCCTCCTTCTCCTTCTCCTCCTCCTCCTCTTACTGCTGGTAGTTCTGAGGGGGGGAGGGTGGCGGAGAAGGAAGAAAGGGGGCGATGAGGCGAGGGGGCAGGACATAGGGAAGGCGGTGAGGCGAAGAGGCAGGAGGGGAAGGGAGGCGGGAGAGAAGAGAGAGGAGGCAGCGGGGGGAGGGAGGGGAGGTAGGGAGGGAGAAGGGACCTGCTTGAGGGAGGGAGAGAGGGGGGGGGAAATCCGCCGATCCGGCGTGTGAGTTTCAAGGAGTCTCAGCTACAGCCTCGAGGCTGAGCCTCAGCCTCTGGGGGGGTTGCCGGGGTGGCTCTGCCGGGGAAGGGGGGATGGGGGGGGGGTGCGAGTTTCCGGCGGATGCGGGGTGTTTGGCGATTTTACAGAGGGGCCCTCTGTAGATGCGCTCAAGGGGCAACGCAATTCAGGCCCCCGCGGGATTGGCGTTTTTACAGAGGGGCCCTCTGTAGATGCGCTCAATGGGGGGCGCGGGATTTGCGATTTTACAGAGGGGCCCTCTGTAGATGCGCTCAAGGAGGGGCGGGGGAATTGCGATTTTACAGAGGGCCCCTCTGTAGACGCGCTCAAGGCCTGCCGGCAGACGCATAGAACCATTGGATTTCCGCGGCTGGCAATGAAACCGTCGCAGCGCGCTTTCTCAGAGAAACCCAACGTTTTAGGGTAAGTTTCAAGCAAAACCGGTGGTTTCCCCATAATGTCTGCGTCTGGAGAATAACCCCGAGCGACCCGGATCGGCGGCACTGGCCGAAGGCCACTACAATAGCGAGGAGCAGGAGGAGGAGGAGGGCCAAGGAACTGGGGGAGAAGCAGGAGGTGGAGGAGGTGAGGAGGGAGGGGGCCAGGGAGGAATATACAAGATTGGTGCGCCCGCGCCGCGTCTGACATCCGAACTGCTCCCTGGCAGGCCCGGCCCACTGTGCCCGCGCTGTTCCATCCATGCCAGCCCTGCTCCGGGTCGCCAGCGCCCGAGAGATCTGAGCCCCTTGAGTGGCGTGTGCAGCGCGAGGGGGGCAGGGGCCAGGCCAGAGGGAGCGAGGGAGGAAGGGGAGGAGGAGGAGGAGGAGGAGGAGGAGGAGGAGGAGGAGGAGGAGGAGGAGAAGATGGAGGACGAGGAGGAGGAGGAGAAGGAGGAGGAGGAGAAGGAGGAGGAGGAGGAGGAGGAGATGGAGGACGGGGAGGGGGAGGACGAGGAGGAAGAGAGGAGGAGGAGGAGGACGAGGAGGGGAGGAGGAGGAGATGGAGGAGGGCAGGCCAGCAGGATGGGGGAGGACCAGCGGGAGAAGAGCACGAGGAGAATGAGGAGGAGAACGAGGACGAGGAGGACGAGGAGGAGGAGGAGGATGTACCCCCTAAGGGATAAACATCGCTTCGTCGTTAGAGCCGTCAGCCTCCCCTTTCGCGCGCGGCCAGCCGACAGCGGAGGGCCTCGAGCCCAAGGAGCACGGCGCTCCTCGGGCCGAAGAGGAGGGGGCCAAGGACCAAGGAGGACGCCTGGGAGGAGGGGGGAGAGGAAGAGGCGCGGAGAGCCTGGCGGAACCGCGGGTCGGGACCGCAGGAGGAGGAGGAGAAGAGGGAAGAGGAGGAGGAAAAGGAGGACGACAGCCACGGAAAATCAACGACGACGACGATGACAAGCGCCGCGGGGCCGCCGCCTGGTCTGGGGGTGGTCGGGCGCGCGGGTCCTCGGAGCCCCTCGTCGGGAGGCCGCGGCACCGCTGCACCCCACCGGGAGAGGCCGCGCACGCACGGGCTCCGCACCGGGGAAGACATGGGAGCATCCTTCACACTGTGGTGGCAACTGGACAAGCGCGCTCCGCTACCCGCAAAGTAACTATTCGCAGGCGGAACGCGCCCAGTGAGTAACGGGTGGGCAGGAGTGCGGCCGGCGCCGAGGCCAGAGCGTCCTTCGAGACGGACGATGACGATCGCAGTGCAAACACACACACACACACACAAACACAGGACACACCAGAAAACGTTCCGATCGTATACAAAAACACGATCGCCGACCCAAGAGGGCCACAGGGTTGCTAAAATCGCCTGCAAGAGGCCGATAACATAATTAGGTCAATTCTATCATTACACTTGGGCTGCTGAAATAAGGCAAGAATGAAGACGAAATCATTTGTTGTTCCAAAGCGAGCCGTGAAATCCAAAAGAACAGCCGAACCCGTGTGTAGCACCCTGAACGACAAAGCAGATCCACGAGCACTGTTAAAACCTAAAGAATATCGAAGGGGCTCGCCACCAAAAAGGCAACGCATTGCAAACTAACCGAAGGAACGACCGACCCCCTTCTGACGTCGGACTGGACCTTCTCTGAACGGAATGGCTGTATTTTGCGCGCGCATGGCGTTCCCAAGGGGTCCCTGGGGCCTCGGTGAGAAATGCCGGAACTCCCAGGCGCGGGCTCCCCGAACCCCCACTCCAGCCCCAGATGCACCCAGCGAGAGCTCCAAGAGCTCCGAGATGTTGCAAGAGCGCTCCACGACAGTCCAGAACAGGCTGCGGACAAGAAGAAGGGGCAGACGGGGCGAAGGAGCAGCAGATGGAAGAAAGAGGGGGGCAGGGTGGGTGGGAAAGAACTGAACGGTCCACAGTGGCCTGGCTTACCAACCTGATAGACGTGAAGAGGGCAGGAGAGAGGAGGGAGGAAGGAGGGAGGAAGGAGGAGCGAGGAGGAGGAGGAAGAGAAGGAGGAGGAGGAGGAGTTGGGAGGATGATGATGATGATGATGAGGAGGAGGAGGAGGAGGAGAAGTTGGGAGGATGAGGAGGAGGAGGAGGAGGAGTTGGGAGGAGGAGGAGGAGGAGGACGATGAGGAGGAGAAGGAGGAGGAGAAGGAGGAGGAGGGACGAGGAGGAGGAGGAGATGGAGGACGGGGAGGAGGAGGACGAGGAGGAGGAGGAGGAGGAGGAGGAGGAGGAAGCTTGGAGGGGGAAGGCTCCAGGCGGGCCACAGGCATGCTGGAAGCTTCGGTGAAAAAGGTGCAGAATCTGCCCAGCTCGCGCACGCGGGGCGCGGCCCCCGGGAGTGCCCGGATGAAGAGACCACCCTGGGAGGGTCCTGGAACGCTTGTGCCAGAGATGGCTTTCCCAGCCGTCCTGTGGTGTTGGGTCCTCGCTCCGAAGAGACGGCCCCCGCGTTCCTCTCCTTCCTGCCTTCCTTCCTTCCTCCTCCCCCTCCCCCTCCCTCTCCTTCTCATCCTCCTCCTCCTCCTCCTCCGCACACGTTTCGTGGCCCCACAGGGAGCTCCACCGAAGGCCCCCCGGGAAGGTCCTGCAAATCTTGCGCCAGAGATGCCTTTTTCCTCTGGCCGTGGCCTCTGGGGCTCCCAAGGGCGCTCCAGACCCAGACCCCCGACGTCATGATTTTTTCATTGCGTTGACCCCCAGAAGTCTCGACACCTTCTCTGGGACTGGTTTCTCATCCTGAAGCATTTTTTGGCAGTCCCGAGGCCCGGTGAGGGCCCCCAAAGACCGAAAATAGCGCTCCAGGGCGCCCGCTCCCGGAGCAGCCCAGTGTCGCTCCGCGCAGCCCACGCCCTCAAGAGCGCCCCCAAGAGGACACCCAAGAGAGCCCCAAGAGGGAAGACACATGCAGTATTCCGCCTGACCTAAGGAACGATAGATAGGGAACGAAGCCCCTTTTTTTCAGAGAAAGTCTGGAAAGTCCGAAGGCACACCAGGGGGGCTCGCCGCCAAAAAGGTAGCGGAACGCATGCAAACCAAAAGAACGACCGAACCCCTTTTGAAGCGCAACTGTTCCTCATCCAAGCCGGACTCTGTACTGTCCTTGGGCGCTCTGTCGTGAACGACAGGTTCTCGAGGTCTCGCGTCCTCGGGCTCCCATCCGCCCAAGACGGCCCCCGAGGCCTCGAGGATGGCCTCAAGACGGCCCGGGAGGGCCCCAGCCTGGACCCAGGAAACGTCCAAGACGGCCCCACAGGGTCCAGCAGGGCCGCTTCACGGCCCCAGGCGGCCCCAAGAGAGCCCCACGCTGGCCCAAGACGGCCTCTGGAGGGACCCCAAGAGAGCTCCGAGGGGGCCCAAGAATCAGGGTTCGTGGGCGGCTGGCCCCAAGTTGGCCCGAACGCAGTCCCAAGAGGCTACAAGATAGCCCCAAGGTGGTGCAATACAGCCCCAAGCTGCCCCCAGAGGCTCAAAGACATGGATTTCGCGATGATGTTCCACTCGATCCGACCAAACAAACACATGGCAAGGATGGCACTACATGGGCCGGCTCAAGGGTCGAAGCATCCATAGAGGCCTCACTTATCCAATTGAGTGGACTTGCAGAGGTAGATGGTGGGAGAGAAGCGAACGCGGAGGGAAGGGGGGAAGACCCCAGGCTGCCTCGTACTTTGTGACATTAGCGTACTCCGGGGGCAAGAAGGACCAGGTAAGGTATCCTCCGATCTCGCCGAGGTCCGCGTCCTCGTCCTCGGCATGTGATGATGGTGCTGATGATGATGGTGGTGATGATGGTGAGCATGCCGAGGACGATCATGATGAGGATAACGATGAAGACGACGACGACGCCGATGTCCATCACAACGATGCCTGCTCTGAACCCCGCTCCGACGCCCGGTTCGGCACAGTATTGGTCAAACAATCGGATGTCGAATACCACGTCGACACACCACAAGGCTGAGTTTGGCACAGACCCGCCGAAACGTGGAGGCATTGCAGCGGTGTCCAGATGAGGGAAATGTTGTGTGTAAATTCGCACCGCTTTGGCGCTTCGTGCCCTTTGGTTGTTCAATGTGTACGTTTCGACAACTGCCAGGGCAATGCAATTGTCGTACCTGCTCTGGTGCGAATCCCCATTACACTTAACATTGAATGATTCCTATATACTTTTTGTAAATAACCTTCCAACGCGCTGTGCGACTCCCCACTTGCATACCGTCTACGCTACCACATGGTCTGAACGACAATCACAAACATACGGCAATGGTTTTGATGTACATATAATGTTCGGCCTTTCATTTGTTTCCAATCCTTTTTTGTCCACCGCTGGGCGGCCACTATGACTGTGCTGCTCGTGTCTCCTACGCTTTCGTCTTGTGTTCGGAGGCCCCCCCTCTACTTTCCGATGCCTGCTCCGATCTATGCTTCGACATCCCGTTCAACACAACATCGATCAATCAGATGTCAAATACCGCGCCGTACACCCCAAGTCCAAGTTGGCCAAAGACTGGCCGAAACGATGAGGCATTGCAGCGGTGTTCTGAAGATCCTGATGAGGAACATGTCTGTATGAAGTTCACACCCAGTTTGGCTCTTCGTGCCTTTTGGTCCGGTGCTGCTAGAAGTGCCCCTGGCCCAAAGTGCCCCCAGGATTTCCAGGGAGGCCCTCACGGCCTCCAGTGCACCCCTCACGAGGCCTAGAGCGCCCCAGGGGCTCCGAAATCCAGCGAAAAGCTTGGGGCACCTTGGGCCAGGGGCACCTTTTCGCAACCCCCGATTCGGTCCTTTAATCCTGCGGTAGGTTCGTGTCGTGTCGACGGGCGGCGCCGCCAGCGGAGTTGATTCCACGTTGAACGCCGCGAGCGACCCAGAATCGTTCGATGTGGAACGAGTTGGACGTTTCGGAAACGGCCGATCGTGTCAGAACCTCGGCCTCCGAGGGAGGATCCGAAGCGGCACGGCCCCTGTCTGCCCAGCACCCCGAGGAGGAACGGACTCGGCGCGAAAAGGGGGAGGACGCGGAGTAGGAAGAGGAGGGGGAGGAGGGGGAGGGGGACGAGGAAGAGGAGGAGGATGAGGAGGAGGAGGAAGAGGATGATGATGATGATGATGATGAGGAGGAGGAGGAGGAGGAGCAGGAGGCGGAAGAGGTGGAAAAGTCCACGCGGTGTCGGAAACCGGCGCCGAAGTCGGCACGACGCGAGCCTGCCGACAAAAAGCTCGCAGGATGGCAGCCAGACAGCACGCCCCCCAAGTCTGGGCCGTGCGCTGTTCTGCCCGGCCTGGGGCTCCGGGCTGCGGCGTTGGGCGCTCTGCCATCGGCGGTGGGCAAACCTCTCTGTATCGGGTGTTGCTAGAAGTGCCCCTGGCCCAAGAGGTGCCCCCAGCTTTTCGCTCCATGTTGGAGCCCCTGGGGTCCTCTGGGCCTCGTTAGGGGTGTCCTGGAGGCCGCCTGGGCCACCCCAAGTATCCTGGGGGTGCCTTGGGCCAGGGGTACTTCTAGCAACACCCGGCTTTAGAACCACAATTTCGTAAAACCGGCCTAAGGCCGAAACCGGTGGAGCAGGACACGCAAAAATAACGGCCGCGACGCCCCCTCGCGAACCGAAGACGGTCAAATCGCTTATCGACGCGTCAGGGTAAGAGGTCTATCAACCTCCGATGCAATCATTTTCCCTGGATGAATCCATCCCACCGGCCCGCTGGGCGTAGGTGTTTTCACGAGTTTTGCCCCCTCTCTGTCAGCATCTCTACTTCCCCTGCTCGGGGGGGGTGGAGGGGGCGATCCCTGTGCCCTATTAATATACACCCTCTCCCCCAGGCGACTGGCATCCAACCAGGAACAGTGAGGGCGATCCCCCCCACCAGCCCAATAAAAACAAACAAAAACGCACTCAGCCTTTACATATGGAGCATGCGTGGCCAACCCGATGCGAACCCCCCCATCCCTGTCAAAAAATACCCCAAGTACACTTTGGGGCAAATTCTTGAGTCATGTTCGCCAGGCACGCAAACACTTTGTATGTCTTCTGACAGGGACGGCGGGGGGGTAGGCATATTGCCTCCTGCGCGAAGAGCTAAGAGAGCCTCAGACGGCCCACGATGGCCTCCAATATTGTCCAAATTGCTTCATCATGTCTCAAGATAGCCCCCGACATACCTCCAAGACGCCCCGATACGGCCCCAAGACCGTTTCAAGAGCCCTTCCGACATCCCCAACGACCCCCCCACCAAGAGGCCAACATAGCTCTCAAACCTATGGTACATCAAATGCGGTTTGCCGTCTCGCCGTTTCGCTTCCGACTGGCCACAGAGGCCCCAAAATGGCTCCATGACGGCCCATGATAGCCCCAAGAGGAGCCCAAACGGGCCCCCAAAGGACCCCAAGAGCGCCCAAGACAGCCCCAAGAGCGCCCCAAGAGGGCAGAACAGCAGCATGTGTGAGCCTCCCAGGGGGGGGAAACCTGAATTGAGGGCCCCCCTCTTTTTGAGCTACGGGGGCCAAGGCGGCCCCAAGAGGCCTCTGAGACCCGCCCAGAGGGCCCAACGAGGGCCCAACGAGCCCCCAAGAGGCCCCAAACAAATCCTAAAGACGCCTCCAAGCGGCCCCCCAAAAAAAGGCCCCACGAAACCTCAAACATGTATCCAAAACGATCCTGGATTTCTCGGAACCGCCGCAGCGCTCCCAGACGCCCCAAAAAGAGAACAAGACCTCAAGAGATATCCTGGGAGACGCCGAGGGGCATCCAAAAAACATATGATCCTTCATGCTTCCCCTCATCCGCAGATTCATCACCCTTTGTCCCTCCTCATCCATTCTCCCTCACCCCCCATCGAACGATAACCCCTGTCGTCTTCCTTGCTCCCACGCTCCCCTGATCGTCCCAACTCGCCTGGGTTATCGGTTTTTGATGGGCTGGTGGGGATACTCTTTGGTCGCGAGCGATACGGAACAACCGCACGCCGTCAAACAACCGCACGACAGCATGCCAGTGTCTACGTTAAGCCGCGCGCTCACAGGCGAACTGCGCAGCGCTCAGCAGGTGAGGGGGGCCGGGAAGTGCACCACATCCACGTGCACCGCCAAAACGACGAAGAAGTACGTGCGCATGTGCTCGATGACCACTGACGCGTAGTCGAGGAGGACGAAGGCGAAACATGGCGGGGATACTTTTTGGTCTGCGGTCTCGCGAAGCAGGCCGAAAGCCGTCCGAACACTACTCGGGCCGCGACTAGGCAGCAAGAAAAGAGAGGCAAGCGAAGCAAGCGCGCGGGCAGCAGTGGTGGGGATACTCTTTGTGTCGCAACCGCAAGCGAAAGCGCAGGCGGCGTGTAACGGAACGGGCGGGCCGCGCGCGAACCTAATTGCCTAACGCGCCAACAAACAGAGGCCTAGGCGGCACCTCACATCACCGGAAGCGGGAGGTGGTGCGGGCTGCAGCTGCCAGGAAACAGGTCCAGGAGCGAGCGCATGCATAACTAGCCAACCAAGGTTGGGGCGCAGCCAAAATGGCGCGGAAGTGGTGGGGATGGTAACTTGGGTGGAACTGTAAATGACCATGTGCACGCATGCGACCGTGAAGCTTGCAAGACATACGCGCACGGGCGGCTCTGTGTTGCCCCGAACGTGCACCACCGTGCCCCCGTGGCACGAAGTGGACTGTTCTCAGGTCCTTTTGACGCATCCACTGAACCTCAGTCCTCAATCCTGAAGTTATGTTGCTCCCATCGTACTCAAGGACCACATCCCGAACATAATTTCGAGCACCCAGGAGGGTATCGAAATAGTGTCGAACGAGTAACTATCGCCTCCCAGGGCCCGACACGTGAAAACCCTCAACTTTCGGTACGTTCTTGGTGCTTGATCTTTGCTCTGGCGACCGAGGCTAAAGTAGATTGGAGCATCGTGATCCTGAGGGTTCTTGGAAGGGCCTGGACCCCCCCTGGCTCTCAAACCTCTTGGGGCTGCCCGAGTGCCCCCAGCGGCCCCCCCGCGTCTTGTCGCGTGTCTCGATGTTCGGTGTCGGGGCCACGGGGGCCCCCAAACGGGCCAAGAGGGCCCCAGGAGGCTTTCAAGGCGGCCCAAGAAGAGCCCGAATCGCTGAACAGTCGGTCCGAGCCGCCCAAGATGGCCTCCGGTCGGCCGAAAACGCGCCCAAGACGTTCCAGAATGCCTCCAAGAGCACCTCAAAGAGGGCCCTAAGAGGCAAAGGTCAATGAAAGTTCACTGGTTTCTGCGATATCATATTGCATAAAAGATCAACAAACAATTCCTGGACAACCAGGACAGCCCCTGCGTGATGGAGCCCCTGTGAAGACTATTGCAAGGTTGTGGGCAGCTCAAGCGAGAGCACCGCTCCCGATCAAAGATGTGGCCAACGCAGGGGCGAGAACGCCATTCGCAGTCGGGGGTGTGGCCAGCGCTCCTCCTCCTCCTCCTCCTCCTCCTCCTCCTCCCACCTCCCTCCTCCTTCTTGTGCACTCCCCTCCTCCTCCTCCTCCTCCACCCCCTCCCCTCCGATCTTCCTCCCCTCCTCCCCCTCCTCCTCCTCCCCTCTCCACAACTCCATCATGCGGCTTGCGATGCGGGCCGAACACGGTCAGGGTATCCCTAAGATGAGGGTTGCGAGGACATCTCAAGCGAGCCTGGCCGCACCACTGAGCCATCATGCGCCGGAAGGGCGCATAAACGGAAATTTGCTGGACAACCTCACGCACTGCATCTCCGAGTCAAAGGTGCCATAGATGTACGTCCTGGCCAACAAAACCTGAACGGAACACATTGGGCACGCCATCTCGGAGCCCAAACTCCCAAGGATATCGCGGCCGAAATTGGCCAGAACACGGAGGCGGAAACATCGCGGGAAGATGGGGGCGAGACCAGGAGGGGACGGACAGAATGGCGCCCCTTCACTGGACTCGCCTGGCTGCGAAAAGACATCACGACACGTCCCGGACAACCCCCTGGACAACCCCCTGGACTACTCCGGGGCGAGCCGGACAACCCCCCTGGACAACCCCCCCTGGACAACCCTCCTCCGGATGATTCTTTCCATACAACATAATGAATATTTAGGGGGTTCTCGACTGTTCGAGCTCGTGACGCTCCAAGACGTCCCAAAAAGCCCACGAGACCGTCCCAGGACAGCCCAAGAGGCCCCCAAGAGGGCCCAAAGACAGCCCAAGAGTCGCCCAAGACGGCCCAGGAGGGCCCCAAGACGGCCCCAAGAAGGGCCCAAAAATGGAAGCCCGAACAAACAATTCAAGCCTTCCGTCCCAAGAGGCCCCCAGGAAGCCCTAAGGGCCCTAAGAAGCCCCCAGGAGGACCCCAAAGACGCCCCAAAACTGCATGCGCGAGGTCCCCCGAGAGGCCCTCCCGCGATATGGCAACGAACATCCTAGACGTATATGACACACAATGACCCATCACTCAGTCACGGTGGCGGAATGGGCCGAAGGCCATTCGAGGAGATTACATATTTAAGTCTGTGCGTGAATATAGCTGGGCCTGCGCGAATGAAACATACATGTATTCAATCGCAGATGCACGATTGTGCGAGCTCGTTGAACCTCATTGAGAAGCTCAGCACTGGTGCCGTCATCATCGTGACGTGACCACCATCATCAGGACAGCTTATTCTAACGAACTTGGACTCGGGAAATCGTATCGTGGCGCGCGGCACTTTCTTGAGAATGCCGATCGCAGACCTGAACAGCTGGGCCGGGCCACTGTCCTCGAAGCCGCAAGCAATTGCGGCTGCTTGGTTCAACCCTTCTGCAAGGACTCTGCCAATAAACCCTTCCAGGAATGCGGCTGCTCTGGCGGACAGCGGGTGTGAATGTGGTCCCAGCGTCTGGGGGGACGACCCGGGAGCTGCGCATGCAGTCACACATCGTCCCGGCGACCCCGTAAAAACAAAGTAAGCAGCAATCAATGCGCATCCCATGGTAAAAAAGCACCTGCCCGCCCCTGTCCTCCCTGGCACGTGGCGGCGTGACAGAGTGCCAATTCTGCCACCCCGCCTCCTCGCGCTCACTCGCGTGCACTGCCCCTCCTTCCGGAGGCTTCCTGGGAGGTCCAACGCCCACTTGGCGCCCTCCAATGCTCTCCAAGGCTTCCAAGGTGGCCCAGGACGCACACCCCAGGATGCCCTCGAGAGGCCAAAACATTAAGGTTCCTCATGTTTTTCAAGGTGTTTCGCTTTCTGCGCTCTTCGGCCGAATATCGCTCTCCACTGGCTCTGGTTTTGAAAACCCAAACAAGCCAACTGAGAGCCACAAGAGTGCCTCTGGACGGCCCAAGACGTCCCCAACAGAGCCCCCAGCTGACCCGAGAGTGCCTGCGGAGGGACCCGCGACGGCTTAAGAAAGCCCGAATCGCGGCCCAAGAGAGCCCAACGACGGCCCCAAGGGACCCGAAATGGCCCCAAGACAACCGAACAGGGCCCCGATACGGCCCAAGCGGGCCCCAAGACGACCACGGGGGGCCCCACGGGAAGCCGAAGGCTGCCTTCTGGCTGGAGGAAGTGCTACAGCTGCACAACCTCCCACCGCCCCCAAAGGAGGAGGAGGAGGAGGAGGAGGAGGAGGAGGAGGAGGAGGAGGAGGAGGAGGGAGGAGGAGGAGAGAGAGGGAGGAGGGAGGAGAGGAGGAGGAGAGGAGGAGGAGGAGGAGGAGGAGGGAGGAGGAGGAGGAGGAGGACGAGGAGGAGGAGGAGGAGGGGGAGGAGGAGGATGATGACCGAGCCTCAGGAGGGCGCGTGTTCCCCGCCTCCCGCCGCGGGGGGCCTGGTCTCCACCTGAGGAGCCAGACCCCCCGACCGCGAACTCGATGCAGTCGAGCTCACACGTGGACGGACTTGTCAATGCCGTCCATGTCCGCGGGAGGGGGAAGGGGCGAGGGCCCTGCGCGCGAAGCGGCGAGGCCGCCTACCACCCCCCCCCGCTGCTCCTCCCGCGGCCGGCCGCCCCGGGCCTTGGACCGTCACCACGTGGACCACCGCGCGCTCGACGGCCACCGGCCGCTCCGGAGCCCCCGCCACGCGCGCCGTCGGACGAGGCCGCCAACTCCTCGAGCTCGACGGCCATTGCGACCAGCACGCCGTGGTCGAAGGGGGCCGTCTCGGGAGCGGGAGGCAGCCCAGCGCGCTCCCGCAGGCGGACGACGAGGTTCCTCAGCTGCCACACCTCGAGGTGGCCAAGCTTGCCCTTGCCGCCGCTCTCGCCGCCCTTGCCCGCGTTCTTGCCCTTGCCCTCGCGCTGGACTGTGCTGGCAGGCGGGCCACGAGCCTGCATCACCACGGGCAGCTCGTCGGCCCAAGCGTCGTCCTCCAGCATCGGCTGAGGCGGGGCGCCAGCCCCCGTGGCCACCTCGCCCGCCGACCCCTTGTCGATGTCCATGCCGTCAGCGACGATGTAGTGCTTGCCGTTCTCGCCCCCGCCCTTCGAGCCGCCGCGGCCGCGGGGCCGCCGCCTCCTGCGCGAGGAAGCCGCAGGATCCGCCAGGGGCGCCGCGACGAGCGCGGGGGAGGAGGGCGTGGCGAGCACAGCCACCGCCGTGCGCAGCAGGCCTTCGGCGGCGCGGATGAGGCGTACCGCCTCCCGCTGGCCGCTCGCAAGCCCAGCCGCCGCGTGCGTCGCCAGCACTGCGCCGCGCGCAGCGTCCAGCGTCGCCTTCGCGGAGCGGGCGTCGGTCGTCGGCGGCATCGGCGAGGCGGCGGGTCGGCGGGGCGACCCAGCGGCGGCGGCGCGTGAGCCAGAATGCCAACTGGAGGAGGAGGAGGAGGAGGAGGAGGAGGAGAGGAGGAGGAGGAGGAGGAGGAGGAGGAGGAGGAGGAGGAGGAGGAGGAGGAGGAGGAGGAGGAGGAGGAGGAGGAGGAGGAGGAGGAAGGAGAAAGAGGAGGAGCAAGAGGAGGAGGAGGAGGAGGAGGAGGAGGAATACGGCCCAAACGACGCCGCGATAAGAGCTCCTACGAGAGGAAAGGGCGCGAGGGGTGCAGCGCGGGCCGCGGCCTGCTTCCGGCGAGGGTTCGAAGCGGTCGCCACGCAGAGCACTTCTGCTGTCACGGTGGCGGATGCGCCGACGACAGCCGGATTGGTTAGGCAGCCGGTCATGGCAGGAGGGCCCAGGATCGGATCGTACAGTCGGCCTTGATTGGACAGGACACGCGAGAGGACACAAGACCCTTCCGAGGGCCACGCCACATCGCCAAGGGGGTGTAAGGAGGCACGGGTCGCGAGGCACAGGACTCAAGGGTACCCTTGACTTGGCGGGGTCGACCTACTAATCCAGGCCGACTGAAGTCAGCACAACCATGGCAGGAGGGCCAGAACCGAATCGTACACCACCAAAGGTCCTCCAACCTTCAGGCACGACGGTTTCCTTTCTGTGCCCGTGCAAGGCCGGTGGCGGCCTTCCGCAGGCGGAAGCCAAGCAATACGGTGCCCATCGGTGGGAAGAAGGGGGACAGAAACCTCAAATTGGGAGGCATTGGAACCAGATTGGGCTTTCCACCTGAGGAGTCAAAGCCCCCTTTAGCAAAACGCGGTTCAGTGAAAACGACCTCGGGCCCAAACCTGGCGGGCGCAAGCGTGGAAAATGACGGCCGCGGCGCCCTCCCGAGAACGGAAGACTGACAATTCACTAATCAGCGTGACAGGGTGGGTGTCCTGTCCACCCCAGAATCAATGTCGGATCGGCTATCAAAATGAATCGGATCGGCGGAAATCGGCAACCAAGTCTGGAAGAGTCGAACCAGCCGGCATCGGCAGGCGAATATGCCTCCAAAGAGAGATCGGAACCCAAATCGGAATCCCAAGTCGAATCGAATCGGAATCGGAAGCCATCGAAGTTGAATCGAATCGAATCGGAGGTATCGAAATGAGCCCTGCGATAGCCCCGAGCGAATAGCGGCGCTAGGCACTGGAACAAACAAGCAGGAGCAAGAGACACGACAGCAAGCAACCGCAGCGGTGGCGGGGGTGGCAGCCACAGCAGCGTCAGCAGCAACGACATGGAGTCCTGAGTCGGCACAACGAGGGCAAGAAGAGCAGTGCGACTACTACGTTACGGATAAGGAGGAAGGCGAAAAGAACCCATCCTTGAATGTGATGTATATTGTGGTAGTGGTCGTAGTCGAAGAGGTTGACGTTGTGGTGGAAGTCGTCGTGGTCTTGCGACGTACGGGGAGGTCCAGGAATGCGAGCGAGAGGGTAAACACAAACAAAGGGATGCCCCAAATTGCGAAAACAAAACGTGTAGACATCACTTACAAATGTTATGCGTACATGCGCACAAGTATATTCCTGCTAGGGCGTGGACCAACCACAACGACGTCGTGCAGCGCATGGGGTGAGAGCTATGCGGCGCGATATACTGTCTGCAAAGTGCGCGGTGGAAACGATGCGGTGCAAACGATGGGTGCAAAACATGAGGTGCCGCCTACGGGGTGCAATGTATATGCGGTGCAAATCACCTTGCTGGCATCCGCGCGTGACCACCTCCGAAGAGCGTCCCAGCGTCCCACCCGCCCACCCGCAACGTGTTGGTTAAACTCACCCGTCGTGATGGCGCGATGACCCCTTCTGATACAAACCTTTGGCTCTGGCCAGCGAATGCTGATGCAGATGGTAATTCTTTACGCTTCGCGCATCCCCACCAGCCCATCTCACAGCAGCAACTCTCGCGAAGCATGCCGACAGTCGTGTTTTTCAGGCGTGTGTCCGCTTGGCCCCGCATATCTCCCCTGTTCCTCCTTCCTCCCGCCTCCTTGTACATCCTCCTTGTGGGGGAGCGGGAGAAGGACGAGGCGGAGGAGGAGGGAGAGAACGCGCTCCTCGTGATTTGAGTCGTTTGGGGTTTCTCGTCCTGGTGTGAGTCGTTCGGGCCCTTCTTCCTGGTGTGAGTCGTTCGGGCTCTTCGTGGTGTGAGTCGTTCGGGCTCTTCGTCCTGGTGTGAGTCGTTCGGGCTTCTCGTGGTGTGAGTTGTTCGGGCCCCTCATCCTGGTGTGAGTCGTTCGGGCCCCTCCTCCTGGTGTGACTCGTTCGGGCTCCTCGTGGTGTGAGTCGTTCGGGGCCCGCGTCGTGGTGTGAGTCGTTCGGGCTCCTCGTGGTGTGAGTCGTTCGGGCGCCTCGTCCTGGTGTGAGTCGTTCGGGCCCCTCCTTGTGGTGTGAGTCGTTCGGGCTCTTCGTGGTGTGAGTCGTTCGGGGCCCGCGTCGTGGTGTGAGTCCTTCGGGCTCCTCGTGGGGCCTTTTGGGGGCCTCTTGGAGCCTCGCGGGGCCTCTTGGGGGCCTCTTGGGGGCCTCTTGGGGGCCTCTTGGGGCCTCTTGGGAGCCTCGTGGGGGCCTCTTGGGGGCCTCTTGGGGCATCGTAGGGCCTCTTGGGGGCCTCTTGGGGGCCTCTTGGGGGCCTCTTGGGGCCGCCTGGGGGCCTCTTGGGGGCCTCTTGGAGGCCTCTTGGGGGCCTCCTGGGGGCCTCTTGGGGCCATCTTGGGGCCTCTTGCGACCTCTGCAGAAGCGCAAAGGAGAGCTGCCCCCTGAGAAGGACAAAATGAGCCCCAAACCTTCGTCAAATCAATGATTTTGCTATGAGGGAAGATGAGCGCGGCCCCCTCAGAAGGCCAAAATGGGGCCAAACCCTTCGTAAAATCAATGGTTTCTGCTTCAACGACGAGTTCAGGGACCAAACTCCCCCCCCCCCCCCCTCGGGGCCAGAATCCTCGTGAAGGTCGTCGTTGTTTTGCCCTCCCAGGAGTCGGAAAAGACCCCTCCAACGACCCGCGGGGCGCCCTCTCCAGGTCCAGGGGGAGGGGGTAGGGGGAGGGGTAAACCCCTCCCCGAAGGGGAAGAAGGGGGGTTGAGGACAGAGCGGGCTCTCTAACTAGAGAGAGCTCTGCCCCCTTCGGGGAGGGGTTTACCCCTCCCCCTACCCCCTCCCCCTGGACCTGGAGAGGGCGCCCCGCGGGTCGTTGGAGGGGTCTTTTTCGACTCCTGGGAGGGCCAAAAAACGACGACCCTCACGAGGATTCTGGCCCCGAAAGGGGGGGGGGGAGTTTGGTCCCTCTGCTCGTCTTTGAAGCAGAAACATTGATTTTACGAAGGGTTTGGCCCCATTTTGGCCTTCTGAGGGGGCCGCGCTCATCTTCCCTCATAGCAAAATCATTGATTTTACGAAGGTTTTGGGCTCATTTTGTCCTTCTCAGGGGGCAGCTCTCCTTTGCGCTTCTGCGGAGGTCGCAAGAGGCCCCAAGATGGCCCCAAGAGGCCCCCAGGAGGCTCCCAAGAGGCCTCCCCCCCCAGAGGCCCCCAAGCGGCCCCAAGAGGCCCCCAAGAGGCCCCCAGGCCCCCAAGAGGCCCCCAAGAGGCCCCCAAGAGGCCCCCAAGAGGCCCCAAGAGGCCCCCACGAGGCCCCAAGAGGCCCCCAAGAGGCCCCCAAGAGGCTCCCAAGAGGCCCCACGAGGCCCCAAGAGGCCCCCAAGAGGCCCCCAAGAGGCCCCCAAGAGGCCCCACGAGGCTCCAAGAGGCCCCCAAGAGGCCCCACGAGGAGCCCGAACGACTCACAACAGGACGAGGGGCCCGAACGACTCACACCACGAAGAGCCCGAACGACTCACACCACAAGGAGGGGCCCGAACGACTCACACCAGGACGAGGCGCCCGAACGACTCACACCACGAGGAGCCCGAAGGACTCACACCACGACGCGGGCCCCGAACGACTCACACCACGAGGAGCCCGAACGAGTCACACCAGGAGGAGGGGCCCGAACGACTCACACCAGGATGAGGGGCCCGAACAACTCACACCACGAGAAGCCCGAACGACTCACACCAGGACGAAGAGCCCGAACGACTCACACCACGAAGAGCCCGAACGACTCACACCAGGAAGAAGGGCCCGAACGACTCACACCAGGACGAGAAACCCCAAACGACTCAAATCACGAGGAGCGCTTTCTCTCCCTCCTCCTCCGCCTCGTCCTTCTCCCGCTCCCCCCACAAGGAGGATGTACAAGGAGGCGGGAGGAAGGAGGAACAGGGGAGATATGCGGGGCCAAGCGGACACACGCCTGAAAAACACGACTGTCGGCATGCTTCGCGAGAGTTGCTGCTGTGAGATGGGCTGGTGGGGATACGCGAAGCGTAAAGAATTATGGTGGGCGACGACAGCAACAACGACGACGACGACGTTCATGACGGCGATGGGGATGATGACGACGACGATCTGCAGGCATGAATGGGGCCGCATTCGGACAAAGATAGGACCCTCGTTTGCTGGCAGACTCAGAGACCCGATGCATTGACTTGCTCGACAGCCCCAGGGCCCGGTGATCCATATGTGATGGCCCCAGGGACCGAAACGAGGCAACAACGCCTGGCTCGAAAAACATTGAGGCGCTGGATCTCAAGGTCCGGCACAAGTCTGGGAAGATCTCACTGTGCCGACCTTGCAGACGTGCCGCAGCGGATGTTGCGTGGATTTCTGGCAATGCAAGACCCCGAAACGGCAGGCGGAAAACGAAGTGAATTGAAACGTGGATGTTTGCTCAATCTTGATTCTTGGCCAAGATAAAAACGCGAAATGCAACTCGAAATCCGGTGCGAAATTCTCCAGGACTCTCCGGGCCCATCCTGTTGTTTTCCACACGCGATCCGTTTTGCCTGCGGCCTTCTGAGAAATTGCCTGAGCCTCCCCCGAAGACACATAAAACATCCCTGAAGGCCCAAGGGCCTAGGGTTTCTGGGAAGCCCCGCCGCCTTCTAACAAGGCCTCCTCCTTCTCAATTCCCCCCTGTGATGAGAAGCAGGTCCACACTACGACGCGAAGGTGATGTAGACGTCAATGGATGTAATGATGTTCTTCCTATTATGCCTATGCTCTATTCCGTCGCCCTCGCAATAACCCACCACGGCGGTGTGCGCCCCCGCCTGTTTCTGACTTTATCATCCTGTCTGGTCTTAGCCCAGCTTGACCACTGGCCGAAAAAAACCCAATTGCGAATCCGGCTGCTTGTGATTCCCCTCCCCCTGGGGGCACTGGAAAGTACCAATACCACTACTCCCCGGACCTCTCCCAAGGATATGCTGTCCCCATCGTACTTAAGGACCACATCCCAGAAATAATTGCGAGCACCCAAGAAAATATCGAAACCGTGTCGAACGAGTATCGCCTCCAAGGGCCCGACACGTGAACACCCTCCAGGTCCGGCAGCGTACTGGTGCTCGAAATCCCACCAGCCCTCTGGGCGTAGGTGGTTTAGGGAGTTTCCTCTTCCACCCCTCCTTCTTCCCCTTCGGGGAGAGGTTTACCCCTACCCCCTCCCCATGGACCTGGACAAAGGGTTTCGCGAGGTGTCGGAGCGTTCAAAACGCCTGGGCGAGGAAGCCAAAATCATTGGTTTACCATGGTTTGGCCCTATTTGGCCTCCTGACAGGGGCGGACGCTAATTGGTGCTTCCGTGTTTCGGGACGCTTGCGGACAGTCCCACTGGGGCCTTCGGTGGAGCTCCCTGTGAGGCCACGAAACGCTGCACTGGGTGGGTGAAAACGCCACAATGGGTGTGCGGGACGCATGCGGACGGTGGCACTGGGGCCTTCCGTGGAGCTCCCTATGGGGCCACGAAACGTTGTAATGGGTAGGTGAAAATGCCCAATTGGGTGTTTCAGGACGCACTCGGACGGTCCCACTGGGGCCTTCGGTGGAGCTCCCTGTGGCCACGAAACGCTGCACTGAGTGGGGGGGACGCATGTGGACGGTAGCACTGTGACCTTCGGTGGGGCTACTTATGGGGCCACGAATCGCTGTGCTGAGTGGGGGGGGCGCATGTGGACGGAGGCACTGGGGCTTCCGGTGGAGCTCCCCGTGGGGCCACGAAGCGTGTACTGAGTGGGGGGGAAGGACGCATGCGAACGCGGCACTGGGCCTTCGGTGGAAGCTCCTTTTGGGACAACGAAGCGCTGTACTGGAGAGGGGGACGCATGTGGACGGTGGCAACGGGGCCTTCGGTGGAGCTCCCCATGGGGCCACGAAGCGCTGGAGTGAGTGTGCGGGACGCATGTGGACGGTGGCACTGGGGCCTTCGGTGGAGCTCCCTATGGGGCCATGAAACGTTGTACTGAGTGGGGGGGACGCATGTGGACGGTGGCACTGGGGCCTTCGGTGGAGCTCCCTATGG